TCTAAAAACCACACTTCAATCTTGTTCTTTTAACTACAACTATTTTGACATTTCTATCAAATCTATTTTCCCTTTTTATTCTGAGCAGTTTATTTTTACATGTTTCTTCAAAATCCTGCTGGAGAGAGAAAGTATGCTTCCACATTTAAATCAGCAGAATTTCACAGCCTTGGAATTCTTAATTTTTGGTTTTTGGCTGTATACCATCTAGAGAGAACTCAGATACATTAGAAGCAACATGAATATCAATACATGGTCCCAATAAAGACACCGAGACACTAAGAAGCTAGATAGCTCGTCAAGGGCTGCACGACTAAGCAGTCGAGCCACAATTTGAACTCAGGGGGGTTGATATCAGACATCAAGTTCTCCATAATAGGCTTTAAAGTAGCGTTATTGAAGGAGACTAGCAATAATAATTAAGGCAATGCTGTTTATATAATATTTTACTTTTTATTAGACAATTAACTTCATCGATCCTACTCTGAATCAAGTGAACCACTGGGCATTCAGGATATTAAAATGAAACTCAGTCTAGTGGCAGAGACATGTCACCCTGATGTCCTATGATGTGCCTAATACAGGTAAATCTACTACCATGACTCTAACTGTGGTGTCGTGACAGGATATTATCAGATCAAGGAACAGAAACCCCTAATCCAGTTAGACGAGGGGATAGAGGCTTTCTGAAGGTTAGCTGAGCTGGAGTTAGCCTGAAGATGTGTGCTTGAGGAAGTAAAGCACCCTCCAGGCAGGTAAAGACAATGCAAGCAAAGTCATCAGCTGAATCATGGACTGTAAGGTGGAGATAACGTGACAATAAAAAGGGGTAGTCAGGGCTTAGACTTCAGAGGACTCTGGATAATGGCAAAGAATCTGGACTTCATCCCAGGAGTGAATGACGAGTCAGTCCAGAGTTGTAAATAGGACAGTCGCATAAACACGGACATAGTTTGAACGGATACTGGACGTGAGAGGCTGGAAATAGATTTAAAGAGCTATTAGCCAAAATAAGCCAGACTGTGCTGTGACAATAAATCTATCTCCAAAACTCAGTTAATGCCATGTAGGATTCTTTCTCGACCATCCCAAGTGGGATGGCTGAGAAAGCCCTTTGGTGGCTTCTATAGCTATACCATCTGGAATGTGTATCCTTTCAGGTTCTGCACTGCAGGTTATATGTTTCTATGGGTTGGGACTAGAAATAGATTTCATTAGTTTTTCCCATATCTCATTGTCTGGGACCCTGCCACATGACTCCGCATGACTGCAAGAGGCATCGGGCAAGCCCAGAGCATCAACCACAGACCCTGGCACTTTTTCTGTCTTGTTTATAATTAGCCAGATGCACCTATAAATTCTCATTGTATTGTTTCAGAAAAACATCACTTATTAATTTCTTCAATTCATTCAACAAATGCTTTTTTGAGCACCTGCTATAAGCACCACCACTGCCATACATAGCAGGGGCTCAGGCTTGGTCACGTATCTTCCCTGTGCGTCAACTCTTCCTTGGCCTTCACGCACGGTGGGGTGGAAAGTACAACATGGGCCAGACCGTGTGGGGTTTTACAGGCCACTGTAAGGACCTTGAATTTAACTTAAATGAAGAAGCTTTAGAATGTTCTATGCAGAAAAATGACAAATCTGACTTTTTAAAAGCATCATTCTGGCTGCTCTGTAGAGAGCAGACTTAAGGTGGTACGTTGAAGCAATGAGCTCTCCTAGGAAGTTATGCAGCAACCGAGGTGAGCTGTGATGGCCAACATCTTAACTTAAATTCCTAGGAGAATGAAGTCACAGACAACTGAGGGGACAGGAGTCTGAATCATTTGAATTATTTCTAAATGGCTTCAGAAGAGTACAGACTGGGTGTGTTAATATTCGAAATTATTCCGCTCCAGTGGATGCTTCCTTTAGAATTGCAAATGATAAGTTTTTGTAGAAAAGTTTCTTAATTAGATTTAAAGCTCAGCTCTTAGCATGTTCTACACTGACAAAATTGCATATACAATCTATAGATATAGCTACGTATAAAGACAACTAGTTAATAACCAAATTATTAATATGTAAATGTTTTGTTCTAAAAGCCAAATCAGAAAATATGCAGTTATATTATTTTGATGTGACTCAATTCATTTATTTATTTTTTTAAGGGCATGTTTGCTTATGAGAACTGCTATTGAGGCCATCTTATAGAAATAAACTGATTTGTTTATTATTACTATCATTTATGATTAGAAAGACACAGAATAAGTTATATTATTTTACCTTGGTGGTTTGATTCATCCACCGAGCATGAATTAGCAGCTAGGAGATGACAGAGATTCTATCTTTGGCCAAACTTTTGGTCAGAGCCTTCTCTTTAACTAGGCCTTCACTTTTCCATGCCAGTTCAGTATTGTCTAATTTTATCAAGAAAAGTCAAAATACCCAGAATCTCCCATCCTTGATATTTGGTATCCTCCCATCACCCTTTGGTATTTGGTCAGGATCCCTTTCTCTACCTCCATCCAAGAAGAGGATGATCTGATCACCTTGGTCTGTCCTAAGAATCTTATCATTTCTGTTCAGCCAGATTGCCCGCTTATCCCTGTTAAGCAATTTTCATACAGTGACTACCATCCCCTACCTCAGTTTCTTGGCTATAAATTCCCACTTTTCCTTGTGGCATTAAGAGTTGAGTCCTGTCTCTCTCTCCTGCTATAAAAACCCAGTATGGTAGCCTTCCTGCATCCTCCTTGAATAGTCTACCTGATCATTCTTTAATTACTATCATAAATAATTTTTTATTTAATAGAGGTTGTGTTTCAACTGCAGTTAATGTGAAATTAAATGAGCATTTTCCCCCATTGGTTATCATTCTAAACTTATTGAAACAGATGTTAGAATCAAAATAGTAAAGATCATAAAACACGCACATTGTTTTTCTTATTGGATCTATTAGCTGGGAAGTGTTCACGGCAATTGTCAAAATATACTTGAATATACCATCCAGGCAAGCCCTGATTGATGAAGACAGGAAGAAGGGAAAGGGCATTTTAGTCATACAGAATAGCATGCATAAATGCAGGTATGTGAAAAAGGATGGCCAATTCCTAGAAATTACAGGATTTAAGGCTCATGACAGCAGACTAGTTTTGTTTGAGACTGAAAGGAATAGGAAATTGAAGCTGGTAAGGTCTGGCTTATACTGATTATGAAGTTACGCATGGGTAACTTTCATGGTACAATAACAAGTTTCAATCTTATCCTTTAAGAAAATGATGTTGAACATGTAGAATTTCCAGAGCCTTGTGGGAAGAAAATAGAGAGCAGAGAACACACAGAGGGAAGCCGTTAGGAAGCCACCCAAAGGGAGAAGTCTAAGCAAGAGCTAATTTAATCTCTAGAAATCTCGGAGAACAAAGCTTTTTAATTAGAGCATATTTATCAGGGTTGATAAGCTGAAGTTATGAACCAGTATGTGATTATATATTGTTTTGTTTATATAATGCCAAACTCCAGCTATAATTTTTTTCTTCTATTAGCCAAAGGAATCAGTGATCCCACAAAGATGTAGTACTATCAATATATGAATTATAGTTTACAATCTGGTTTGGAGAACTGTACTTGCCTTCCTCCAACATTTTCTTTCTAGAATTTTCCCTACCCAAGCACCGAGAAAATTCCATGGTAATCACACAGATTTCGGTATCAAATGCAGCAACTTCATTCCTCTTGGAAGAGGACAGGCAAGGCATACATTTTTAAAAGCTCTTTCCAAACACCAATTTCATAAAAGTAATAGCAATTGGTATCATGATGTGCATTAGAAAACTTCAATACAACAAAAAGACACATCCTAAAGAGGGAAGCATATGAAATCCATGTACCCACCAAAGATTAGTAACCAGAATATATTTAGAACTCTCTACAAATTAATTAACAAAAGAGAAGCAAGCCAAGAGACAAATCAGCACAGGATACGACAGACAAGGCATAGAAGGTAAAACTCAAGGGCTTACTGAACATCTGTGAGAAGATGTTCAAACTCACCATTAGAGCAATGTACACGTGTCAAGAAGAAGGGAGGAAGTGGGACAGAGTTGGGAAGAGGTATAAAGCAAAATGCCATCTTATATGTAAACATTTCATGTCCTTAAACAACAAAGAGCAGAGACGTGTTACTAAACATTAACGTTTGGTTAACTAAGTGGTAAGTATATGCATGTTTGATTTACTTTCTGTATTTTTGAGATTTTTGAGATATTCCCTTTTTTTTTTTCTTTTTGAGACAAGAGTCTCATTCAGTCACCCTGGGGTTGAGTGCTATGGCATCATAGCTCACGGCAATGTCAAATTTTTAGGTTCAAGTGATCCTCTTACCTCAGCCTCCAAAGTACGTGGGACTATAGGTACCAGCCCCAAGCCACAGTGCTCAGCTATTTTTAGAGATGGGGTCTTGCTCTTGCTCAGGCTGGTCTCAAATTCCTGAGCTCAAGCAATCTACCTGCCTTGACTTCCCTGAGTGCTGGGATTCCAGCTGTGAGCTATTGTGAAACATTAAGATATTTCTTAATAAAATGACATATGTAACAATTTTACTATCCTATTCTATACAAATTATTCATCTATCACTTGAATGAAGTAAAAGGATAAGAAAGCTGAGATGATAAGGGAGGTAGAATAAGTTACAAGAACATAGGAACCAGTGTGGGAATCCTAATGCCTAACCCACTGAGCAAATAACTTTATTCTCCTACAAGCTCATTCCTTACCTGAAAAACTTGAACAATAAGACCTTCCTTCACTATACAAAGTTATTGTAAGGAGTGAATTACTGCATGTATATTAAAGTGATATTTAAATGTGACAAAAAAACTATACAAATTGTTAAGCCTGCAGTTAATGTGAAATTAAAAGAGCATACTTTCTCATTTATTGTGATTCTAAATTTACTAAAACAGATATTAGAATCAGAATGGTAGAGATCATAAAAGACACACATTTTTTCTTACCGGATCTATTAGCTGGGAATAGAGTTCATGGCAATTGTCAAAAATATACTTGTATGTAGAATCCAGGCAAGCCCTGACACAGTCCTTTACGACAATGCTGGCCTTCGGGGGACTTTGCAGTTCCAGAACCTGATGGACAAATTATTTTCTTAAATGCAACAATATAACATTGTAATCCAGTACAAACTACAAAAATAATATTCAATAAATGTTTTTAGTTGATTTTTTCTCTGTTTAAGAAATGTCATCTTAGAATGTGGTTTTAAATATGTGAAGATCCATTTTAGCTTTTTGATATAACAATTTATTGAAAATGACCATGGTTGTAAACATTCAAATAGAAACACTTAAAGTGGCCAGTTACCACATCACTAATTCTATTCTATTCCATCACTCAACAAATATTTATCACTTATTCCATGCCAGATAATACAGCAATAAATGAGAGAAACAAAAATCTCCTTCCCCAGGGCTTAAATTCTAAAGATAATAAATACAATAAATAAGTAAAATATATTACATTATGATATATTTTGAAAAGAAAAATAAAGTAGAGAAGAAAAAGTGTTGCAATGAAATATAATTAATACAGAGGACAGAAATAGCAGGTGAAGACAGAGAAATAACAGGATGGGAACAGAGGAAAATTTACATCGAGACAGACCATTATAAGAACCGTAGCTTTGAGCAAGAAGAAATTGGATGGTTGAACAAAAAAGCAAAATGACTTAACCTTACCAAAATAATTTATCTTTTAAAAGTTCCCTTATGCCGTCTTAAGGAGGGCTTCAGAACAAATGACAAAACTAGTTATGAGAGTAATGAAAAATTCCAGTCTAAAGGAGGTAATACTTTGACCGAGGTGGTAGGAGTAGAAATTGGTAGAGGGAATCATATTCTGGCAAGTTTTCGAGGAAAGTGCTAACAGGATTTGCTGATAGATTGGATGACAGGTAAGAGGAGAAAAGTCAGGCTGACCCCAAGATTTTAGCAGGAGAATGATATAATGGAGGTGGCCTGGACTTCGATGGGAACACCGTGGTTGAGACATCAGCAATTTAAGATTAAGAAGCATGTGGGGCACCCAAGTAAATTTCAAGTAGACATTTGGATAAAAGAGTCTTAGCGTAATGGAAATGTTCTGGTTAGAGATATAAATTTAGAAATTATTAATTCACAGAAGAATTTAAAGAAATACTATGAAATGAGTATGGATAGAGAAGAGAAAACGCCTGTGAAATAACTACCAGGTAATTCTAACCTTATGATATTGGGCAAATGAGAAAAACCAAAGCAGTGGAAACCAGAAAAAAGACTCTAACGAGACAGGAGGAAAATGAATCAAGAGCAGTGTCCTGGAAATCGAGAGAGAAAAGGGTTTCCTGAAGGAGAGAGAGTGGTGACACGCTGCTGAACGTGGTAAGATGAGGAGCCTATGCTGAACACCAGGTTTAGAAGAGGGATGGTCATGGATGACTTGGACAAGATTATTTTTGGTGAAGTGAAGAGGTAAAAGTCTGATTGAAATGAGTTCAAAAAATAAGGGTAAATTTGAAGGTTTAATATTGTTAAAATGTCAGTTCTCTCCGGTTTGATGGACAGACTTAATGCAAACCAAATGAAAATTTTAGCATGAATTATAGTTGCCTAAACAATTGTGGAAAAAAAAAAAAAAAAAGAAAAAGGGTGGAGGACACACTTCATCTTATTTTAACATTTTCTATAAGGATATTGTGATTAAGATGGACTAGAAGGGGTGAAAATAGAGACAATTAAACAACAGAGAGTTCAGAGACAGACCCAAACATATATGGTCAATTGATTTTTTTTATTTTTACAATGGTACAAAGGTAATTCATTGGCAGAGAAAGAAAGTCTTTTCAATAAATGGTGTTTGGAACTATTGAATGTAAATATGGGGAAAAATTATCTTTGGCACATACTTCATACTTATCCCAAACAAAAACAGTAACAATAAAAAGCCCCCAAACTCTAAGTAAAATATAGAAATTTTACCTACATATAAAAGGTAAACTCAAAAAAAAAAAAAATAATAAGAAAAGCTCTTTGTGATCTTGGTTTGGCCAAAAGCATTATTCATAAATGGAAAAATCGATAAAGTGGACCAAAACTAAAAATTGTTGCTGTGTAAAAAATACTCTTAAGAAAATGAAAAGATGAGGCAAAATGAGGGGAAATTATGAGCAAGTCATATAGCTGACAAGAGACTTCTATCTAGACTATATACAAAAACTATCAAAACACAACAATATCATACTGTTGAAAAATGCTAAGACTGTAAATGCTCGCACCAGAAAAATAACTTTGTGAGGTAGTCATATGTGAATTAGCTACATTTAGCCATTCTATAATGTATACATACGTGTTTCAAAACATCATGTTGCATACATTAAATAGATGTAATTTTATCTGTCAATTTTAAAAATATTTTATGAAAACCTCAACAATAAGATTAATAAAAATGCATAAAAAATTACAACACATTCTTCACAGAAGGAGATATTCAGAGAGCAAATCAGCCCAAGAAGAGATGCTGAAAAGTAATTTTTTGATAAATAGAATGAAGACCACAGTAAGATATGACTTTATTCCTGTTAGAATGAATAAAATAGAGAAATAGATAGATGTAGGGATAGATAGAATGGAAAATACTAAGAGCTTCAGCAGGAGATGGAGAACAACTGGAATTCTCATCTATTGCTAATGGGGATTTTATTCAAAAAAAGTGAAAACTTATACTATAAATCTATTCATGACTATTTATGACCATTTGTCCGTCATCTAGTGAATGGATAAAAATCCTATTAATAATACACAGCCATGAATTACTATTCAGAAATAAAAAGAAGTAAATCATCAATGTTCTCAATACCATAGATGAATATTCACTGTGTATGCTACATCAGTTATTATTTCATTTACATGATGTTTTGGAAAATGCGAACCTACAACTTGAGAACAGGCCAGCGGTCGTCAGGCTGTGGGAGAGGGGTTGGCTACCACGGAATTTTGCAGGCTTATGGACCTGTTCTATATCTTGCCAAGGTGGTTATCTGACTACACATTTATCAAAATTAATGGAACTGGGGTGGTGCCTGTGGCTCAAAGAGGTAGGGCACCAGCCCCATATGCCAGAGGTGGCGGGGTCAAACCCAGCCCCGGCCAAAAACTGCAATAAATAAATAAATAAATAAATAAATAAATAATGGAACTGTACAAGAATGAATTACACTGTCTGTAATGCGCGAAGATGATTGAAGGAGGAATTTGTTCAAAAGATAATGGAAGGGAAAAACAGACAACTATTTTGAGGAGTTTTTCTAGTAAAAGGAAAGTAGAAGAAAATGAAGTCATGTAGTATTTTTAAGATCGGGAAATGAATAGGATGTTTCAAGGGAAAAGTTGGTAATTCAGGAGAGTGGGGAGGATGCTGGACCAATGTTTCCATACACAAGAGGAGAGGAAATCAGTCGCATAAGTGAAAGAGATGCACTTGTCTAGGAGAACAGATGGCTCATCACGGCAGCTCAGGACCTAGATGGAGTGGGTGGTGGGACCATGTGGTCAGGGTTAGAGAACCCTTTCCTCTCTTTCCTCCTTTTTCTGCCAGTGAAATAGGAAGCAAAGTCAACCACTCTTAGTGAGGATAAGGAAGGAGCAGTTGCAGGTTTGAAGGCACTGTGTCTTTAAGCACTGCAAGGCTTGTGGCTGAGATATGGCAGAGGAGCAGCACCAGGCGGGCTCTCTGTATCCTCAAGTCCATTCACTCCTTCAGTGTCAATGGCAGACATCACCTGTCAGTCCCAGAAAACCTGACGGGTCTCACCCTCATTTTCTGCATGCTCTTCCAGCAACTACGGATGGTAGCATAGAACTGACATAAATTCTATTTATCCCAGTTACCCAGTTTAGCCTGATTTCAAACCAAATGAATTTTAATTAAACTTTAAAGAATGACCATTGATTCAATATAGTTTTGTCTTATGTCTCTCTTAATATTATAAAATATCATTTTTAGAGTTTCTAATAAAAAAATCACAGGCAAATTAAAAGAAAAGGGTTTTTTAAATTTGTTTTTTTGTATTCTGTCCAGGAACTTTCTGGATATACTGTCTTTCAAAGAGCAACACATTTTCACCCATAGTTTGGCAAGTACTTTTTGGAAAGACTTTACCTAAGTTGCATTGCTGGCCAAAATTATGATTGTGCATAACTTGCTATTAAAACAAAAGAGATATATCCAAAAAGCAATGCCTGAATAGTTTGTTAGGTAATAGCCATTATACCAATGGTGCAGGTAGGTGACCAAATATACTCCCACACAGGCACTGAAAGTTGCTAACATGGGGGTAAACTTTAAAGAGTCCTATCAACAAAATACATCATTTAAAATTAAAATTAGCAGTGAACTCCATATCCATTCCCCATGCTTTGGGATTCTTATTTTAAGTGTCATGTCTACTTATTAGAGAGCTCTGTTGAAGGTGGATTGAATTTAGAACTGAGTCAAATGTATCAGAGCATTTTAAATGTCCAGGATAATCTCGTCTTCAGTACACCTTATGCTGAAGATTCATTTAGCTCAGGCAAAGACAGCACAGCTTAATCGATGGGGCTGACCCAGCGCTTGATCAGGAGGCAGGGAAAATCACATTTTCCCAGGGAATAAATGTGTTCTGTGTCATTCCAAGACAGTGACAGTAATAAAGTAAGATACCTTCATCCTAAAAAAGGTGATACTTGTTAGCAGGTCGACTGTTGATTTCAGGTCTTGCAGCCTTTCGCTGTTGCTTGCAGGAAAGTTTTCCTGGTTAATGAAGAAACAGAAAAGGGGCGAAGTGATCACCATTAAACCTCTAGGGGGGAAACAAAACTTGCTTCCTATGAAAGAAAACAGGAAGTAAACTGCATACAATTTAGTCAAAATTCCTAAAGTAGTCTTCAAATATTTTCATTGTGGAACATAAACAATTTGGAGATGCTAACGCTTTAGTGTCAGAATTATATTTATATTTTCCTGTCCTATTTATCCTCACAATGCCATGAAATAGGCAAAGCACTATCATGACTGTGATGTTACATTAGTAAACCTTATTCATAAAATAGATTTGCTTCTAAAAGTAGGGAGCACAGTATAGATTAGAAAACGTTGTCATACTTTTCCCAAGATGGAAATTATACAAATGCTGCGTTTACTTTTAGTCATAAAGAAACTTTTAAAAGTTACAAAATGAAGTTGCACGACAAACATAGTCTCTCCTGAAATAATGTGGATTTCAACCAAGGTTTTTTATAGTGAGGTTTGATGAGAAGTAGCGTTTAAGATTATAGATATTCAGAATGTTAAAGGAAAGGTATAATTCTGCAAGTGTTTGGACTAAGAAACAATATTAATACTGAGAAGTTTTTTTATGTTAAGAAGCTTTCAGATTGGCTTTCTCAAAAGCCATCAAAGAAACCACAACTAACTTCTAGATACAAACGAGTGTGAGCAGAGTGGGGGTGCCTAAAGAGTGAGATGAAGAATGAGGTGGCCTCAAGGCCCTTCTTGACCCAAAGTATCTTTTCCAATGATCAGACCATTGATTCTCTTCTCATCATGCTGGCCCTGGTTCCAACCCGAGATGTGAGTTTCATAAAAATTGGAATTATAATTTCCAGAAATATATAATTAATGTATCTGTCAATAAAAGACTAATTACAAATGGATGCATGAGAACGAGTGCCAATTAGAATGGATGTTTAAAGCAAAGTGTTTTACCATGTAAGATACAGAAGGGCACCTACCATTATGGTAACTAAAACTGTCACTAAAGGTTTTTAACTAGGATACTTTATAAATAAAATCCTGTGTGTGTTTATTTATGCACTTCTATACATGAATATATTTGTGTGTGTTCCCTTGCAGGTGAAATACAGAATGGATGATAATAAACACTGGACACCATTGAAAGAGGATACTGTACTGATCTAGGAGAAGAAAGAATTAAGTAGTTAATTCCAGTAGGAATCTTAGAAATTGGGAAAAAGTCAGCAAAATATCTCAGTAACATAGGATGAGCTTTCAAAATGAGTACTGGGCCACATGTTTACTGAATAGATTAGGCTGAAGGTCACTAAATCTAATGACTTCTGAAAAAAAAATCTGTAAAACTAAAGCTACACGTGGGCCCACGTGCTCACAACACCGAGTATTGTTGCAGGCAGAAACAATACTGACTGACACAGTGGATGGACTGGATTACTGAGGTCAGTATTTTTACTCTTCCAATACCTAATGGATAATTTTTATAATATAACGAGAAATCACATTATAAAACAGTTTACCTTTACAGAAATAATTTTGTACATACCCTATACTTTGACAGGTCAATCCTTAAAGAGTTATGCAGCTGGTCCAGTAGCTTTATGAATTTTTCCCTCTGTTCAAGGCAAACACAAAATAGGAGAATGGAAATAAATGGCTGTTCCTAAAGTAAGTCCTCAGAACAATTCTATGAATTATTGTGCAAATTGAACACAAAGAAGGATCAAAGAAATCAATGACTTGTCCAAGATCGTAGAGCTGCTTTGTGGTACAGCAGTGATTCAAACTCAGGTCTCTCTGACATCTAATCTGTGCTCTTTCCAGTAAGTCATTACCACCTCCCTGTGACAAATGAAAAGTGTATAACTGTTCCAACAAAGAACCTAGAAAGTTGTGTTCTGTTGAAACAGCACAAACGATTTGCCTCTGTACTTCCTCATGCCCAAGAACTCACTGCAATATAAAGGCATCAAGAGAAAAGTCAGCCCATCCTTCTTCCTGATACTGCAAGCCAGTAACTCCACCTCCCCAGAAGGTAAGTTATAGCTTGGTCAACTTCTCCCCACCTTTAGAAGTGGGAACAGCTGTTATTTTTGTCAAAACCAATTTGAAAAAGCATTTTCTTTCCTTTCGAAAACAAATACGGACTTCATAATCTCAAAGAATCAATTGCTTTTAAAGGATGATTATGATTTAGTGATAAAAGTAGCATATCATTCAGGTCCAAGAAATGATTCTGCTTCCCACTGATGCTATAGCAGGGTTGGACTGTCCTCTTCACGGAAGTATGACACTGTGGCGAGATCAGAGTTTTGCTAATAGTGCAGGGTGGGGTTTTATGCATTAAATACAAACAAGGGGAAAACATCAAAGGCACACACAAACCCGATGGGCAGAAACTCCACTATTCTGAGTCCCAGTTTTTTCATCAAAAATAAAAACCAGGGAAGAGATGGGATGCAATGACAGAAAATTTCTCTCCCTACATTAACATTCTGAAACCAGCAAATTGCACTTTGGTATGTAGTGACAGAAAGGGAAACTTTTCTGAGTAGTTTCACGTAGGAGGTGGATTTATGGTGCCTAAGACTCTCATTGCTTGAAGTCACTGATTTGATGGAGTGAACTGAATATTAACAAGAGTTGATGAATTGTTCCTAAGTTGAAACTTCAGTTCTCTGAGTAAACTGCCTTCATGTTTACACATCAGGGAACAAAGTCTGCACCTGCGTGGAGGGAATAAAGGAGCATAACAACTGAAATTTGCTTCCTCCCTGGGCAAGTTAAGACCCCTAGGCCAAGGAAGCCATCAAACATAGAGATGAGTTGAAATTCTTAAATTATTCTCTGCCATTCTCTATTATACATACCCAGGGAGGAGGTAAACCAGGCCGGCCTTTATTAACTTCCCAACTCCTACCCCACGTGGGTTGGTGGCTCTCATTAAAATAAAAAAAAAGATGAGCCCCTACCCTAATCACTTTAGGTCACAGTAATGTTAGTCATTCAAGAGATTGTAAAAGTCACTGTAATTCGTGTCATGTCTCTGGTTGATTTATCTGACTTCCATGATTGGTGCAAATCTTCAATATTGCCCATGTTGTGGCCCCAATCACTGGTCCTTATTTATACGCACTGGGAAAAATTGTGCTGATTCTCTGCCCAATATCCAGTATTTCGCTGTTCCTCTCTAATACAATCTCATGTGTCAAATGTGCCCAACATGAAATTCTTATTTTCCCAGACTTCTTTTCCTCTGGGTATGGCCATGTAGCATGGTCTTGGCCAAAGAGTTTATTATTTTTTCTTTTTTTAATGAAAGAGATGTTGCCTTATGCCAAAGAGCAAAGTTACCAGTTACTCAGTTACCATATTATCAGTTATCTAATTTTTTTTTTTTTTTGACACAGTGTCTCATTCTATCTCCCTGGGTAGAGCAGTGACATCATCACAGCTCACAACCACCTCAAACTCAGGCTCAAGTGAACCTTTGCCTCAGCCTCCCAATTAGCTGGGACTATAGGCATCTGACATGACCATGACCCTCAGCTAGTTTTTCTATTTTTAATAGAGATGGGGTCTCATTTTTGTTCAGGCTTGTCTCAAACCCCTGAGCTCAAGGGATCCACTTGCCTTGGCTTTCCAGAGTACTAGGATGACAGGCTTGAGCCACCACGCCCTGCCAATTAATTAATTATTATTTGGGGTGATCCTAAGAGTGCTTGGCAGATAGTATTTGGTATATTAGTGTTGCCCTCGATTTCTTTGTTAAATATAACTTTGGAGCTTTCTTACTTTTTCCCTTTGTGCTTCCTCCCTTTGCCCACCTAAAATCTAATAGACCAGTGGTTCTCAACCTTCCTAATGCCGCAGCCCTTTAATACAGTTCCTACAGGTCACAACCCACAGGCTGAGAACCGCTGTAATAGACCCTAGAAAACACAGCCCTTATTTCATGCCCACAAGATGAAAAGCTAAACGAACGTTAGGAAAGTCACTCCCAGACCCTCCCCATCCCATCTGCACTCTTTTCAAAAATTACAGTCTGGAGCAGCTCTCCCAGCCCTGAAATCCTCACGTCTGGAGTTCAGTTACATGAGGGAAAAAACGAAATCGTATTCAGTTCAGTGTAGGTGAGTTTCTGTTTCATGCAGCTGAACAGAATTCTGACTGATATAAATCACACATTCGGTTTCTCTCCCTGGGCTTCAGCGCCCAGCTGAAAATCTTACATTCAAGGAAAAGAGAAAACTGTGGAGAAAACTGCCGGGTTTCTTGTCACTAAATCCCCAACAATATCAGATGATGTGAAATTAAAAGTATGCTGCTGATTGAATTTTCATGGAGATTCTTTAAACAGCAGGACAGCTTGAATTTTACTGTTATTTATGTTATTATATTTAACTAGATTGATTTTGCTTTTGCAGAGGAGGCCCCACCGCCTGTTGGCCATCTAGTTAAATAACAAAAGACTGGATGACTAAGAAATGTTCCTCTAGGGGAATGTCACAATATCTAAAACCACCACACTATTCAGTTTTTTGTATTAGGAAGCCCATTAATTACCATGACTAAGTATTGTCAGTTATCAAAACTTTGGGTTTAATTAGTTGACTGGAATAACTAGCCCAGGTTAGCAAACTGTCTATAATGGGCTAGATGGTAAATACTCTCGACTTCCCAGACTCTGTCACAACTGTTCAGTCTGACCCAAAGCACTGGAGCTGGCACAGACAGTATGTAAGCAAATAGGCACAGTTATTTTCCAGTGAAATTTTATTTATGTCTACTGAAATTGAATTTTATGAAACTCATGTGTCACAAAACAATAGTCAATTTTTTTCCACATTTAAAAATGTTAAAACTATTCCTCGCTTCTGAAAACCAATTTTAGCTTACAAAACCCAGTTGGGAAGCTGGATTTGGCTGATGGGCAGAGAGGGGCTTTTGACTGGGGGACAGGCAGTGGCCACCCCATATAAGCCCTCTCAGGATGCTTCTCCCAGGATTTGGGGGACTGTGGAAGGACAGTTCTTATAAGAAAGGAGTGCTTAAGCCTCTCGTCATGTCATCTTAAGTTTTTGTAATATTTGTAGGCATAACATAAAAATTATTCTGATCTGGATTAGCAAACTGGGCATCTTTTTCAGACATTATAATTTAAAAAGCAATTATTAATAAAAAAGAGACACATTTCAGGTAGAGTTAATGCATGGGCTACTACTATATTTTTTGATGTTTTAATTCATGTTAATCATATGAACATATTGGACACATATGTACAGGTCTTGTTGACTTGAGATTAATATGGATATCAATGGAAATGTCACAAAATTATAAAATATGGCTACAATAATGGTTTCAGTGACAAACTGCTTCATAAATTTCATCACTTCAAAGGATAGTTAAAGAGTCCCTTCAAAGGAAAATGTGAAAAGCACTGGAATGTTCTAGTTCACTAATCAAGGCCCCCTGAGGTTGCCCTCAGCCTGACTAAGCTAAACAGGCTTCTTCCTGACACAAGGTCCTGACCCCCTTTCTTAGAGCATTTTCTTCAGAAAGCTTCTAATTGCAAGTTCTTTCTCTCCCCTTGAAATGTAAATCTTTTAAAAAGCCTCTTGCCAGTTTTATAATCCAAGAAAGATCTCTGAAAGATTTGGAAGCTTTCCCTTTGAAATGTGATCATCAAGAAGAGAGTATCCCCATATCTCAGCCTTCTTGGGGATTCAGGAGCCTACTTTTGATAGGCATCAATTAACACAGATAGCCTAGTAGCCTAGTCACAGAAAAGAAAGTGCAAACTCAGAATAATTCAGAGTGCTGGACACACCCTGTTGTTCAACCTTCCCCCGACATCCTCTTGTACCCTCCCTGGGACCCTCTGATTTATTCCAGCCCTTAGAACCCTCCTTCCTTTCCTTTCTCTTCTTTTCTTTTTTTTTTGGTCAGGGCTGGGTTTGAACCCGCCACCTCCAGTACATGGGGCCAGCGTCTTACTCCTTTGAGCCATAGGTGCCACCCAGGTCCTTCCTTTTCTTTCAGAGGAGTTGAGTTCCAACTATGGTAAGCTCTGACCTCTCTCCCCCATTGCAGTAGCCTTGAATAAAGTCAGCCTTGCCTATTTAAATTTGCTGGGTGCAATTTTTGCTTTTATATCACGTATGAATCATAACATAAGAGATGTTTACTCAAATTTTTTAAAACTCATTAAAATATACGTAGCTTTATGAAAGTAAAGCAATCCTTTCTAAAGTATCAATTGTATATATTTTAGCAACTCTGCTAAAGTACTACATTATCTTTCTTTCTTTCCATAAAAAAAAAAATTCAGAATTTTTTCTATGTGAAGAACTGAGCAAAGAATCAGCAGCCAAGAATTATAGAAAAAAGTATTACAGAGGTTCGTCAGGCAATTCATTAAAGGAAAGATCATGAGGATTTTTCTAATTCCTGGATTTTATAATGTTTATGCTGTTCTTCATAAATAAATACTAATTTTATACAGAATTTTCTATTAAAATTCTTTTATTCTTAAAAGCACCTGTTCCTACCTTTGTGGTTTTGAAAGGACAGTGTGTCACCGACAACAGAGGCAGCTTCCCGTTGTAGGAACGC